TTATCACCTGTTTCATGTCTCCTCACTAGAATATAAGATCTGTCAAAGCAGGTACTTTGTTCATTCTGATTTTCTAGTACAAAGAGGGCTCTAGGCACATAATAGATGCTCAATAAACATTCCCTAAATGAATGAGTGAATGAAATAAAGAATCAAAGGCATTTACCATTTCTATATAGAACATTAAATACCATTATTTTTTCAATTTTTCTTTTGCTTTTTAAAAATTTCATTCATTTTCTTTTCATGGGAGAGGGAGGGGGAGGGGGAGGGGGGAGGGCAGGGGGAAGGAGAGAGAGAGAGGGAGAGAGAGGGAGGAGGAGGAGAGAGGGAGGAGGGGGAGAGAAGGAGAGAAGGAGAGAGGGAGAGAGGGAGAGAGGGAGAGAGGGAGAGGGAACATCTTCCATCCACTGGTTCACTCCCCAAGTGGCCACAACATCCAGGGTTGGCCAGGCTGAAACTCCAGCTGAGCCTCCCACGTGGGTGGCAAGGACCTAAGTACCTGAGCCATCAGCTGCATCATCGGTTGCCTCCCAGGGTGTGCATTAGCACTAAGTTGGCTCAGAAGCCGAGGAGCCAGGAATGTAACCAGGCACTCAGATATGGGATGCAGGCATCCTAAGTGGCAACTTGACCAAGTACCCACCCTTTTTTTTATATAAACACAATTTCTGGTGTGAAGTTTTTGTGCTCAAAGCCATGTGGGGGGCGGTCTCTCCCATCAATGTTATATTTCAAACAGCTTTTCCTAATCTCATGGTCACATATTCGCCTTATTTTCTCCTTGACTTTTAATAGCTCCATTCTTTAATAATTGTTATGAAAATTTTAAGCGTAGAGAAGAGAAAATAATTAACATACAGTTTCATTTTTCTTATTTAATCTTTCATCCTTCTGGAATTTATTTTGATGTGTGTTATGAGGAGGAGCTCTAGTTGTTTTGGTTTTCAAAATAGCCACTTCATTATCCCAGTGACTTTTATTGAGTAATCCATTAGTTTTCTTTAGCAAATAGGAATGACATCTTAATGATAATGCAAATACTTATATAAAATGCTGCCAGGCAGCAGGTTAACGCCCTGGCCTGAAGTGCTGGCATCCCATATGGGTGCCAGTTCTAGTTCCAGCTGCTCCACTTCCAACCCAGGTCTCTGCTATGGCCTGGGAAAGCAGTAGACGATGGCCCAAGTCCTTGGGCCCCTGCACCCACATGGGAGACCTGGAAGCTCCTGGCTTTGGATCGGCACAGCTCCAGCTGTTGTGGCCAGTTGGGGAGTGAACCATCAGGTGGGAGACCTCTCTCTCTCTCTGCCTCTCCTCTCTCTCTGTGTAACTCTTTCAAATAAATAAATCTAAAAAAAAAACTGCTGCCAGAACAGAAGAGATATCTCAGCAACCGACATCTATTTTTGTGTCTGCATCACTTTAAAAATGCTACTTTATAATAGGTTTTAGTAAGTGTTAATATAAGTTCCACTTTACGATCCCTTTTCCTCAATATTTCTTGACTATTCTCCCCTGTATATTTTTTAAATGTTCACTTCCAGTTTAACTGAAACTTTGTACATTTTTTAAAGATTTACTTATTTATTTGAAAGGCAGAATTACAGAGAGGGAGAGACAGAAAGAGAGGTCTTCCATCTGCCGGTTCACTCCACAGATGGCTGCAACAGCCAGAGCTGGGTTGATCCAAAGCCAGGAGCCAGGAGTTTCTTCCAGGCCTCCCACGTGGGTGAAGGAACCCAAGGACCTGCGCCATCTTCCACTGCTTTCCCAGGCCATAGCAGAGAGCTGGATTGGAAGTGGAGAAGCTGGGACTTGAACCAGCGCCCATATAGGATGCTGGCAATGCAGGCTGTGGCTTTATCTGCTACGCCACAGTGTGGGCCCCCTGTATATTCTTTTTTATTTTAAGATTTATTTATTTATTTATTTGAAAGTCAGAGTTACACAGAGAGAGAAGGAGAGAGAGAGAGAGGTCTTCCATCTACTAGTTCACTCCCCAGATGGCTGCAATGGCTGGGGCTCTACCAATCCAAAGCTAGGAGCCAGGAGCTTCCTCCAGGTCTCCCACATGGGTGCAGGGACCCAAGCACTTGGGCCATCTTCTACTGCTTTCTCAAGCCACAGCAGAGAGCTGGATTGGAAGAGGAGCAGCCGGGACTAGAACCGATGGCCATATGGGATGCCAGCGCCGCAGACAAAGGATTAACCTACTGTGCCACAGCGCCCCTGCCCCCCCCATAGTCTTACAGATGAATTTTAGAATGACAGTTATGTTTGGAAGCCAGTCCTTTAGATGCTCATTGCATTTGTATTGAATGTGCTGCTGCATATGTAAGAGAAACTGGCTTCTTCCTCTCTGATTCAAACCCTCACCTCCCATCTCAAAAAGAACCCTGTAGCTGGCTTCCATCTCCTGTGCTCTCCAACTCACTCTGCACTGCCGTCAAAGGAGTTTTATGAAAAGGGTAAATTTGAAGTTCTCTGCTTGGAATTGTCAAGCGGTTCCATGATCTGGCTCGAGCCTACCGCTCCCTTCTACACACCGGGTGTTCCAAGCTAAATGCAGCTCTTTGGAAGCACATCCATCGCAACTCTCTCCCTTCCCTTGCTTTCTGCAGAAGCAACTCTGCCTGGCCTTCCCTGGTCTCCCCTGCCTTCCTTCGCTCCGCTGACCCCCGTCCTGACACTGCCTCTGGAAAGTATTCTCAGACCCTGCCACACTTCATCCCTTCTGGCTTGCACGCCTTCCTCCTGCCTCCCAATGGGTAGCATGGCACCGGGCAATTGGTCTCTAACTGCTTATTCATCAAAGTCTTCGGCTCATCTCAGTTCCCACAGAGTAAAGTCAGACTATGACCTGTAACTAAGGAGTCTTGCAGCTAAAACTTTACACGGCAGCTTCCTTCATGTTGCTCTCTCCCCCTAGTTTCTAAACGATTGCAACAGACAATGGCCCAAACAGCAGCTTCCAAGACAACATATGCTTGGGATAATCAACACCTACGCCACATTGACTCTTCTGTCTTGGGAGATTTAATGCCTACGCTGAGGACTTAGAAAACCATAGGATATTAAATTACCCTCTGAATCAAGGGCAGAAATGATACGTAGTAGCAGCAATTCTAATGAACTTTCTGTCTGCAAATCATTTGATACATCTAATGCTAACGACCGCGGAATCAGAATTTTTGAGGCCACAAGTGTTCTTAGGACTGCCAGGGTCAGCTCTAGTTTCAGATGAAGGAACTGGGACGCTAAGGAACACAGCTCCTCCACACAGGCCTATTAAAAGTGGAGACTGCAATAACTGTCTGCATACTAGCCACCTAGGTAAAGCACCAGAGAACCGCTAGAGACAATAAACTTGTATTATTAAAGCGGAGGTTTGGTGGTGTTAAGGATTATAACAAATCAGCTCTAATCCCCTCTTTTACTGAGCCACTTTATTAGAGGGGAGGCAGACTTCGCTTTGCTGCCACATCAAACTTAACTATGATTAGGCACCAACAAAGTAGTAAGCATTAGACAGCACAGGAAATATCCGTAGAGTTCTTTATGTTTGCATAATTGCCTCAAGCATTAGTCACTTTAAAAAAAATCGCACACACATACTTAATACTGGAGGACAGAATTTACTACCATAAGTCTCTTTTCATTAAGATTTCACTTCATCACTAACAATTAAAATCCATCCCCCAACCACTACCACCAAAGAGAACTTACTTAACCCACACATCCTTGAGGTAGACCAATGTTATCACTGTTTCCCCTAATGAGGAAATGGAAGCCTTAGGCAACCAGCTTGAGGCTAATGGGCAGCTCGGTAAGAGATCCTTGTGCTGATTGAAACTGGACCAGTGTTAAGAGGAAAAATTCAAAGTGTTTCAAACCGGGAACATACCATGGCACTAGGAAAGAAGGACACACACACTGATCCCACCTTCAGTGTGCCAGCGTCTCTTCTCGAAGAGAACTGAATGCTCTTGTTGGCAGATAGTAAAAGCACCACATGCCTAGGGGTTCCATTATAGAAGGCACCCCCCTGGCTGGCCAGGGCCCCTTCCATTTTGTGCATCTGACATGTAAAACAACTTCTTTTGCTTGCTTTGTTTATCCTCGAAACAGAAGTCTTTGGATGGTTTCTGGCCCCGCAGCAGCAAGACTTAGATGCTTGATACAGAGAGGCCAAGTCCAGGGCTCACCTACTGACTCCATCTCTGGAGGTGTGCTTCGCTCCTTGAACAAGTGCTCAACTTTAAAAACCACCAGAGAATCTAAATTGCCTTAGCTGGATGGCAATGGGCTGAGTAAATGGATACTTTCATGTCATTAGTCAACATGCACTTTTTCTCCCTTCTTGTATTCTGTCTCAGAGTAATTTCTGCTTCAGGTCAGTCACCCTAAAGAGCCCAAGTGCTAAATCCTAACACTAAGCCTAAAGACCCAGATTTCCATTTAGTAGCCTCCAAGGCAAGGCAGCCTGTGGCCCAGTGGCCCTGCCACTCTCCGCACCCTTTTAAAGGGAGTTTGACAAGTTCACTCTTCTGAGGTACCCCTGTGCCCAGTTCCTTCTAAGGCAGGTGTCCCACTGCTTTGCAACCTTGCATTCCCTTCCAAATGAACACGGTTTGTCCAAATGTTGTTACTCTAATAAAATTTCCACAACTAGGTGTCTTAGTGCTTTTTCTTAGATACAAACTCTAAAAGCAGCTTAGGGTTTTCTGAAATCCCTAGCAATGTTCACCTTTAAACAAGGAGTCACTTTTTGGAGATCTATACATTTTATTTATTTTGCAAATCTGAGGTCCATTTACATTGAATAACAGTTGGATGCACCAAACTGCCAGAACACACCTCATACTTTCAAATACACTTTTATTTAAAAATACCGGTTTTAAAAGAATCCCAATATATTTTACAACATTTTTAACAGAAAGAATTAAAGAAAGGATTACCATCTTATCAAGAATGCTGCCAACAAAGGTCCTGCGGTTTACAGATGGATACCGTGCAATTTTTCTCCTATTGTACTAATCAAAATTGCATCGTGATCCACCCGACAACAGCAAAACAGGTCATTGTACATCTCCCACATATCAGCACTTACAGTTTTTAAAAAAATAAGACGACGATCAAATCCTCCTTTCCTCCACAGGCCGGGACAAGTGCAATACTTTACCATAGAACACAAGTAATGCGACAAATCCCCACCAGCGGATGAATGGGCTTGAATGCTGGTATGTACACGGAGGTGTCCACAAAATGTAGAAAGCACACGTGATCACAATCAGTTTTGCATGGATTTGCACAGCCATGTATACAGGTATACGCTGAAATGCAAACCTGCAAAACTAATTGTGAGTAGCATTGATTCTGAACATCCTGGCCATCAACAGGAGACTCATTATCCCAGAGTACTAGAAGTGCTCACACTACAGTAGAATGATGCTAGAACTACCTGCACTATGAGCACTTTGGTACTATGAGGACACAAGCTTTTCCTTCGCACCAAACTGCACGTGGCACACAGTCCCCCGCCATCTGTTCGCAACAAGCAAGGAAAGAGCAAAAAGCCAACCTTTAAACTTGTCTGTCCTGTTTGGATGACTACTTGAGGCGTACTTTTTAAATGCTGTCTCATCGGGTAGCCTGTGCCAGAAGGGGCATTTAGGGCAGTAGATTCGAAGTTGCTTCACTAACTGCACTAGATGCACCTTAACACAGGAGACCCGGTGTAAGGAGCAGCCCCAGAGCATCAAGCACCTAATTACGTACAAACGAGGGTCCGCAGTCGTCACTGATTATATCACCATGGTAATGTAAGAAGTGCTCGCATTGCAGTAGATCTCAAAAAGCTACCTGCACTGTAAGCACTTTTACATGGCCAAGGCCCATTCCTGCAGCACAATTTTAGGTCTTCCATGCGTTCTTTTTTTTTTTTTTTTTTTTTTTTTCATCCTCACGGGTCTAAGTAGACTCACCTGGTTAAAAGGAAAAAATAAAAAACATAAAAAGCACATTAGATATGAAACAAAACAAAAACCCTACTTGTTAGTTTTCTAGAGACAAGTTTTTCTTTGGCTTACAGTCCCACCAAATCCTGAGAAATATTAATAATGTGAAGAATGTACACAGAGTTGAACATAACTAGCATTCAATTTCGAAAGTGCCATTCTGAAGCACCAGCAGATTGTAGATACTGCCTTTTCATCTAGGAAACCTTGCTCTCTGTATCCCAGTGCGCGGCAGGCCCGGTGTGTTCACCCTGATGCTCCAGAACCTAACAATCAGGGTGAGGATTGGAGTCTTGAGCTGCTACAGGGCTTTGGGGCTCCACACTGAAAGTGACTGTGTTCCATGAAATGTATAAACCCGGCCCCCACCCCAGTAACAGAAAATGAGAGAACTTCCCGAGCTGGCTTTAAGAAACACGGCCTTATACTGCTCACATAATGCACAGAGGGCCGGGAGATGTCACATTTTGATCTATTTCAAAGAGCTCTACTTGTGTTTAAACATTTATGGGCCCATTTTCTCCATTAAACCTAAAGAAGGCAGATTAGTTCTTGTGTCCTTCGTGTCATTATCTTCCATAAGAACACCTTCCGTTTCCAAGTGCTTACTGGACCTAAGAACTTGCAGCAAGGAAGTAAGTCCCCATTTGAAAAGAAGGCTCATAAGGGTCCCCTACTTTTTCCATGATGGGCTAACTTTTGTTAAAAAGAAAAAAAATCCAACGTTTCCTGGACACAGAATTTCAATAAGGTAGAAGATCGAGGGAAGTTCACATGCTGGACTTTGGTCATGATATCCCATGCTGCTCACGTACATCTGAAAATAGTTTTCCATGGGGGAAGAGTAGAGTTGGCATAGAAATTAGAAGACTAACATTTCTCCTTTTATATTGGGTTTCTGCGCACGTAAAGACTGCCTTCTGTTTAGACTTTTTCCCCCCCTCCATTGAAAAATGTACTCCAAACCTGACTCAAAATGCAGAATGGACTTAACCCAGCAAGAGTGACCTCCGCACCCGTCTGAGTTCCTTAATGAACCATTCCTTAGGTATACATCGCGCGCACTGGCCAGTCACCCTTTAAATTGTTAAAACTCAAGCAAAGAGGAAAGCCCGGCCACAGACGCCCTTACGGGCGCGTCGTGCCTCTGCCCGCGGCGCTCACAGCCTTACCTAGCGCTCCAGTTGAGGTCCGGGAGCCGCTGCGCGCCCAGGGTGTGCTCCAGCTGCTCGCACCACGCGCTCCAGTCCTCGTGCTGCCGCGGCCGCCGCGGAGATTAAAGAGAAAGGAACAAAGCATCATGGGAAACGGAGTTCTCCATTCAAAGCACCAAAAACGCGCCAAGCCCACGCCTCCCTCCCCCTCCATTCTCGGGTTGGTGGGAGAGCAGCCAAGGAGGAGGAGAGTCCTTCTTTCCCCCTCCACGTGCACCGGCTCATTCCGTACCCCCACTCCAGAGTTCCCCGGGACCCTAAAAGGTCAGCGATGGAGGAGAAAAGAAGTGTCCTTTCCCCGGTACCCCTCAGCCGCACTCTGCTACTTTGCTTTTCTCTGGTCTACACCCGCTCCGTCCCCTCCCACCCACCCAGTCAACTCTTCCCCGGTCACAGCTGCCCCAAGGAAGCTACCCGCCTTCCAGCGCGGCCGCCGCCACGCGCGGGACCTGGCTCCGGCCCGCCCCTCGCAGGTGGCGCGTGCGGCCATCCCGCAGCAGCCAGGCTGTCTCCCAGTCCCCTTCCCCCCCCACACACACACACAGGCGCACGCACACACACACACGCACACGCACAGCCCGGGCTGCGAGCGCTGCCCGAGCGCTCCGGGAGCCCCGTACGAGTGCACCCTCCCGCGGAGCCGTAGCAGGAAGAGAAGCGAGAAAAAACGTCCCGACGATTCACTGGGGCCGCGAGCGCACACCTCACCCCCAAAACGCCCCCGTCCCGGACGATGCGGGGCCACGAGCCTCGCTGGCCACCACTTGAGGAGCGCTCCGTCCCTTCGGCCCTCGGTCCATAGTTATATCCCTGGGAAAAGCCCGCCCCTCTGCCTTTAATAGCCCAGGGAAAAAAGCCTGCCCCCGCCCACCCGGCCCGCACAGGAATTAGGAAACGGAACCCCCACCCCGCCAAAGCGAAAACCCTAGCGAGTCCCAGTTACCCACGGGCGGAGCGCAGTCGGCATCCCCCCCCCGCCCCCGCTTCCACTCTTGCCCAACCTGGAATCCCAGCGGCCCGGGTGGCGTCCGGTGCTGCAGCCGGTGCCACCGGCGCCCGGGCCGCCGGGATGGCGCACTCAGCTACTACTTCGTCCGTCCGTTCCCTCGCCGGCGACGCTCGCTTCCCTCCCTCCTCCCCCTCCCGGAGATCGACGCCGAGGCCCACGGAGACGTGGGACCCGGGTGTTCCCCCACCCCGCGCGCGCATGCGCGCCACCTCGCCGCTACATTGAAAGTGTTCCTAAGGCCCGAGAAGGGAAGAAATACAGACTCAGCGTATTCGCTCTTCGCACATGTGAAGGTTTTAACCTCTGCCACCTTGTGCTACTGGTAGGAGGGTTTCGCCCTTGCCAGGCGCCTCTCTCACCCACTAAATCAAGGTTTCTTGGCAGGTATCGTTAGCAGTAGCAGCCACTGGGCACACGCACAAACGCAAGGAAGATACGAAGCAGTTATCTTGCTTTAGCCTCTCATTCCACGGCTAATGAGAACCAACTGAGGGCAGGCTTCTTAAAGGCCAAAGCCCGAGTATTCTCGGTGTAAAACCTAAAACGATGTCTAGGCTTAGGATGCACAATCAAAGTGGAATTAGGCATCCCAGACTTTGGACGCAGGGCAAAATGCCATAACCAGATTATACCTCCTCCATGGCCCCGGTGGATAGGAGCCCAAAAGGGGTTTGGGGAGTCGCGGCACGGGGAGCAGGGGAGGTGGCTGGAGCAGAAGACGATACTGCAAATCAGAGAGCAGTGAGCACACAAGGTCCAGTCCTACCCTCCCTCCCCACTATTGTGACCGCGACCCAAAGTCCAGAAGAGGACAAGGGCGCCTGTGATTCTTCACCTGGTGTACAGCAGTAAGCTCAGGCAAGCAGATTACAAAAAAGTGGCCTCTCCTGCCCCTGGCCGGCCGCAAAGTCCAACCTGAACGGCCAGCGCCACTCACGACTCAGCGGTGGATGCAACCAAAGGCACACTCATTTCTCCAGCGGGAGTCACTCCCACAGGTGGCTTTTTTTTTTTCCCCTCCCCTTTTCGGAAAGAGAGCAAGCCCTGCTTGCAGCCCACCCTGGCGCGTCTGCCTGATACTTTCTGGAAAGTACGCAGCCCGAATTTACTACCCAACCAGATCCCTCCCGGGAGATTTGCACCGACTACAATGCAACTTTCGACCTTTCGTGGTAGCGACTAGCAGTGGAAAAAAGAGGAGGGGGAGGGAAGAGATCTTAGACCCGGCTTTGAGAGACTTTGTATTAAAGCAAGATAAGAACAGTACCTTTGAGCTCGACCAAAACCTGGAGTTTAAAAAAAAAAAAAAAGGCTTTTTTTGCGAAAGTGGCGCGAAGATAATATCATGTGATCCGACCCCAGGGCGTCTCCTTCCCCTTTTGCCAAACTCCCCTCCCCTTGAAAAAAGGGGGGTGGGTGGGGGAGTTACATCCGCTCCTCACAAACTATTAGCATAATTAATTGTGTCCTGCAGCTGCAGCCAGAGCTCTCGGTCCCTGGGTAAACATATCCTCATCCTCTTCACCATCCGAACAAAAAGACCCATTCCCCTGATTTTGGGAAATGTTCCCAAATAAATCTTTATTATCATCGAAAGGCTGAATTTGGCATTCTAACTCTATGTGTCTTGGTTGGAGAGACAGAAGCGAGCTGAATTCACCCTACTAAAGGGAACAAGAAGTGCCTCAAAAGTGAAATATTTCAGTAGAGACTTTCAAATGGAAATACCACGTTGAGGGACTTCACTAAGCTTAAAATTTTCCAAAAGTTTTAACAGTTCATTAAACAAGACATCCTCCCAGAGTCTTCCTACCCCCCCCCC